TGCAATTTAAACTAATGTGACCCAGATGGATGAGTCTTTCAGTCAAGGAAACAAACCAGTCAAAGCACAAGAAGAGCTGAACTATTTAGCCGAGCACAGGAGTCTTTCAATTTGAAAGTAGTTTGTAAAACCCGAAGTAGCTCAAAGTGTCCTCCCTGAGATGGATTATCTGGTCACCCTAATGTAGGTCTACTGACATCAGCTAACCCAGGAATAAGGGAGACAATAGAAGGGTCATTGCAGGAAGAGGGTGGTGGTGTTATTTAGCAGTATCTAAGCTGCAGTACTGGTAAGAACAGGCTGCATACTTGGGGTGTGAGTCCAGTCACGGGAGGGGCCCTTATGAGGCCATTTGATTTGGCTCTGACCCCCCTTCGTGCGGGTGTGCTAGGATAGCCAGCAGAATAGTGTTGGCTGCTCTTTGCTTATACTGTGAATGGCACATGTGATAAGAGTGTTCCCTGCAAGAAACGTTTCTCCCTCGCCTCATGACATGGTGTCAGAAGTAATGGACTGAGCGCTGAATAAGTGAAGAAATGTTGAAATTCAACCCACTGGAACCGTTCGACTTCTCCTAGCCCGCTGCGTGGCCGATATGGTGATAGCGTTTTTCCCGTTTCCGAGTAGCGTCGAAACTGAATAAGGAGACCAGCGAAGTGCAGGTGAATTCGCTGCTTTACGCGATGGGCAGGGACTGTGAGCCTATAAAATACGGTAAAAATACCTTAAATGGCGACGGGAAAATACCGTAAAAAACAATCAGGTAAAATACCATGTCAAATACAGAAAAAGAACTGTAAAGGTAAATATAGTTCAATGTATTTAATACATTGTTTGACTGTACAATTTTTAAAAATGCAGTAAAAAATACTGTAAAACACCTTAAATGATAACGGGAATATACTGTAAATATCAATCAGGTAAAATACTTTTTAAAATAGGCTATATAAACTGTTTGTAAGTATAAAATTTATCTTTATTTAATACTGTGGTGAATGGATGAGCCTATAGTTTAAAATGAAGAACATTGTTTTACCTATTTATACTGTAATGTGTAATTGTCACATCCATCAGAAAAATAAAATGCCACAGTTTTTATGATGCAAATGATCATATGATCATTAATGAAGTTTTACACAAAATATTAAAATATTAAGCATGTACTATCGCATCCATTAGGCTACATTGGAGTTGCCTGCTAATATCTATGATATGCTTCATGCTTGTAGAGGGGTCTGTCCAGGTAGAGAGAGAAGATGTGATAGAGGATGATGCAAGTGAAGGAAGTGAAAGCAGAAAAGGTTCTGAGAAAAGTGAAAGGGATGAAGAAAGGTCAGAAAGTAGTTTGTCAATGTGGAAATCTGAAATGGCATTTTTCTTTTATGTAATAATAAAAAATAGGCTACTTGATAAAAAGCTGTTCTCT